ACTAATCATTTACTGTTTCCTCTAACTGCTGGGAGCCCCTGCTGGTTTCTGGCATCTCTGCTAGTTTTGAAAGGATAATACAAGGGTAGTTTTCTTGACAGATTCCTGTAGGTCTATAATTTTAAAGCTCAAGGGGGCAATAAAGATCATCAACCACTCCCCCCAGTACAGATAAGGAAACTGAGGTGAATATTTCTCAGTAACCTTGCACAAACTCCACTAACGAGTTAGTAGCAGCTCCTGAACCGACTCTGAAGTACCTAGATTCACCGAAACTGACTATTCCTTACTCCTATGCAGTCTAATGATACCTTCTCCAGCATATTCAACAATCGGCAGGACTGTGCAAAACAACTACCCCAGACTTCCTAGGTCTGAAAGGCAGTTTTGTGTAAAGATGATTACCACAGTCCTGAGTTACCAATTTTTTCTCCAAATACCTAGGTCACATAACTCAGAAACAAACTTATGAGTACTGACATAGAGACGACATATATTTGCCAAAGAAGAAATGATCATGCGTAATGAGTAATTTATAAAATTATAACATGTGGTCCTAAAGGACAAATATAGTGTGTGAAGCCTGATCAAGCTTCTAGTTTGTTGTTAGTCAGTAATTGAAGGCCATAAAAGGGACTTGTGACACTCTAAAACCAAAAACAGTTTGTCTGTCACAATGAAAACTTGGGGTTTACACAGTTCTTCCTGATAGTGGGGATACTTAAACAGATGAAAGAAAAAGTTTATCATCGTTGAGTCTTTTTTTTTTAATTGTGAAAATACTGTACAGAAGGGTTACAATTACATGGGCAAGGTAATGAGAACATTTCTTATCAAGCATTGTTGTGTCTTCCTTTGTTTCCCCCTCCCATCCCTTCCCATCTCTCCCACCCCAAAAAAAAGTTGTAAAGCTCATTTTTTGACATAACATCTTGCACATCTCATTGTTGCAATGGGTCCACCTGTATCCCTATTTAAACATTTTGTTTTTTTCCTTTCCCCTCCACAAATTATACCAACATTAAATACAGTGAAAACAGGGGTTATACTGTGGGGGAAGGACATACAAAGCAATAAAGAAATCATCTTATAAATATGTTAGAAACAATTACAAGAAAAAAAAAATTGAATCTTTATCTTGGGGTTCATTTAGCCTAACAGCAACTTATCTGATCATATCTGCTTGTCTCAGACATATATTTGAGTCTTGAACATAATACTATTTCATATAAACCCATTTATTTTACAAAGTGCAGAGATATACTAATTTTCTCAGATTAAATGCCCTCTACAAGTGAGGAGAGATTCTATTTCTGCTTGTTCAGAAGTTCCATTTTACAAAAAATGAATTTTTAGAGAAAAGATGTGAAAAATTGTATGAGTTGTTAAGTACAGTGTCAGTGTATTATATCAGATGCTAAGCAAAGTTGCTATATTAATCAGAGTTTACCAGTGGAGCCTAAGATTTTTTTCTATTTTCTTTTTTTGTGGGGGGGTCCGGTCATTGGCCTGAACTCTGGGCCTGGGCACTGTCCCTCAGCTCTTCAGCTCAAGGCTAGTGCTCTACCACTTGAACCACAGCACCACTTCCGGCTTTTTTTCTTATGTGGTGCTGAGGAATCGAATCCAGGGCCTCATGCATGCAAGGCAAGTGCTCTACCACTGAGCCACCTTCCCAGCCCCTAAGATTTTTTTCTAATCATATGTATATATAAATGTAGATATGTATATATAAATACGAATGTTCATATTATGATAGATTTTATTTGTTATTTTTGGTTATTTGTTTTGCTTTGAGTAGTTATTTACTCTGGTCATAATGTAGAGCTCATTTCAATGAAAAACACCAGTACTTCAGTACTCATGATTCATGAAGGGCCAAAATGAGAAAACTTAAGACATAAAACTATTTCAGTCTTAAAATTTAGGTATTCCAAGAGAAGTGGTGAAGATACGTGGTTCCTGTGCCTCCGCAATAAAAGATTGATGGAAGTTATTTGTCTTTATTTCATTATCAATGAGGCATATTAGTTTTATAATTACATGCTTGGCCTATGATATCTTTATTTTATCTCTGTGCTGTAAATAGTACATATGAAAATATTTAATAAAATATTTATAATAAAAGATAAATGTAGTCAAATGTTGTAGTTAGGTGGTAATAATCTAGTCAAATCACTTGTTGCCATGCACTGAAGCTATACACAATCATTTGAATAGAGATAATTTTGTGTACGTATCTTCGAAGACCTTGGAATTTTAATTTAATTTAATTTAATTTTAATTTTATTTTCCCACACATAATAAAATAAACTTAGTTGTGGAAATTTGGGTTTTTTTTTTCTAAGTTTGAAGACTTATGGAAAAATCACATGAAAACAACTAAAGTTCCATGGGAAATAAAGATCATAAATCAACAAACGTATTACTACATAATGATTACTACAACTCAGTATGGTTCTGTGGATAGCAGCAGCTTGTAGATAAGTTTCTTGAAAAGTAAATTACTGTATATTTCTGAAGACATATAAAAATTTCAGTCTAGATTGGGTGTACATTTTAATCCAGATTAAGTACAAATCATGTACAATTAATTCATGAATTCATCAGAGTTTCACAAAAGTCAAGAGAACTGGCTGAATAGATGGGACTATCATGGAATAGCGTATTAGCATCCCACAGCCAATCAACAGAATGGAAGTTAGGTATGTTACAACATTCAATGAAGTAATCTATTAATATAAACACCTATATAATTTTCAATTTTCTTTTGAAGTCTCTCTTCCTGAGACATTTAAGTAAACTGTAAGGTTCAATAATATATTTTCTCAATGGAGACAGATGGATAACTGATTTTTTAAAATAATTTTTCATAATCTCTTGGTTGAATAGAATTTTTCTAATTTTGTAGGAAGCTAGTTAAAATATTTTAATCAAAATCTATACCTATTATTTCCATATGCACTTAGTTTATATATGACCCCATTTTAATATTGGAATTACAAACTATATAAATTATGGGCCTGTGATCATGTGTATTACAAAGCTTTAGATTAGGTCAAGTAGATTAGTTGTGTACATTTCTAAGTGGAATGATAATACATAAGACATAACTATTTCAAATTTTGTAATAGGCTAATTCATTTAATAAAATCTGTTGGATTTTTTTCCATATTTGGATATTTCTTAGAGATCGCTATATTAAGATAACTGCAAAAGGTGCAACCTGCCCCCTTATTCTCTACTATTATCTATCTCCTCCAAGGAAAACTAAACAAGTGAAACACATGTAATGTCCATAGGATTAACTGTAAATGATAATAATGTGTTTGACACTAAGACTTTCATGTCCAGAAGGTAGAATAAGTAAACCAGGAAAAACACATACTCAGGAATCACGATGAATTATTTTTCAGTTCATTACACCACAGGAAACATTTACAATACCTTGTTTGCCTGCATCATTATCTAAAAAATACATATTTCAACATGTCTACATCTCTAAAACTACCACTGATGGAATAGCAAAGAACACTCATTCTTATGTGTCTGCATGAGGTAGATTTTTCTTTCTTAGCATGTTATTTGTACAGTATTAAGAACTTGGAAAAAATTATATTAAGTGAAGTAAGCCAGACCCAAAGATACATAGGTCCCATGGTTTTCCTTATTTGCAATAACTAGTATATGTCTGAGACAAGCAGAAACAGTCAGATAAGTTGGTGTTAGGCAAAATGAGCCCCAAGATAAAGACTCAAACGTTTTTTCTTTCTTGCTATTGTTTCTAGCACATTTATAAGATGATTTCTTTGTTGCTTTGTATGTTCCTCCCCCACGGTACAACCCCTGCTTTCACTGCATTTGATGTTGGTATAATTTGTGAAGGAGAAGGGAAAAAACAAATTGTTTAAATAGGGATACAGGTGGACCCATTGCAACAATGAGATGTACAAGACATTATGTCGAAAAACGAACTTTACAACTTTGGCGTGGCGGGGAGTGATGGGAAGGGATGGTAAGGGGAAACAAAGGAGGAGGCAACAATGCTTGATAAGAAATGTAGTCATTACCTTGCTCATGTAACTGTAACCCCTCTGTATGGTATTTTCACAATAAAAATATTATGTACATTACTAAATAATGCAAAACTATTAGTCTTAACTAGTTAATGAAGTGGTGAAATATTTTCATCTTTGGGATACGTTTACATTGTTGCATCTAAAATAGATTTGCTAGGGTAACAAGAAACATTGTCACTCACAAAATGTTTCTGCCAAATGGACAGTAAGCAGTGTTTGCTGTCAGTCTGTTAGTCAGACTTTTCATATCTCTATCAAAATATTTAACATCCAACTTGTAGAATGACAACCACTTATTTAGCTCATGGTTTCACAGATTTAGTTCATAGCCTTAGCTACACTCTTTCTGGGTCATGGTGACATGAAACATATGTCAGAGTTTTCTCCACTCATGACTAATAGGAAGTACAATAAAAAATTAAACGAATAAAGCAGACTACCTATGTAATATCCAAAGACATGTCCTCAGTGGGCCACTTCCTCCTTGTGACTACTTCCAAATCTCTAAAGAGATGAATCCTGTATTTAAGTCATTGCCATCAAGAATAAAGCTTATAACTGATTACTAAACTCTCTATACATAAGTTTAAGGGAGATTTTCATATTTATATCAAAATAGAAATAAACTTTTGCCAAGCACTAGTGGCTCACACAGGTGCTACTCAGGAGGCAGAGATTTGAGGATTGCAGTTCAAAGCCAGCCTGGGCGGGAAGGTCTGAGAGACTCTAACCTCTAATTAACCACCAGAAAATCAGAAATGTCATGTGGCTCAGGTGGTGGTGTGCTTGCTTCAGCCTTGAACTGAAGAGACCAGGGACAGCACCTAGGTCCTGAGTTCAGGACCCACAACTAAAAAAAAATTAAAAAAAATTAAAATAAAATAAACCTTTTACCTTTCTCTCCACCCGGCCATCTTGTCTGCTGTGTTCGGTTGGAGACCTCCCGCACCTAAGGCAGGAAGATGGTGGTCGCCAAGAAGACGAAAAAGCCCCTGGAGTCAATCAACTCCAGACTTCAACTTGTTATGAAAAGTGGAAAGTACATGCTGGGGTACAAGCAGATGCTGAAGATGATCAGACAGGGCAAAGGGAAATTGGTCATCCTCGCCAACAACTGCCCAGCCTTGAGGAAATCTGAAATAGAATACTATGCCATGTTGGCAAAAACTGGTGTCCATCACTACAGTGGCAATAATATTGAACTGGGTACAGCATGTGGAAAATACTACAGAGTATGCACACTGGCTATCATTGATCCAGGTGATTCTGATATCATTAGAAGCATGCCAGAACAAGCTAGAGAAAATAAAGAGTGCACAGTTTTTCCTTAATAAAACTTTCCAGAGCTGTTTAAAAAAAATAAAACTTTTATCAGCCCATGATATCAATCTATTACATCAAATAAGGGTAAACTCAATTAAAATTTATTCTGCATTTAACAATCAAAAAGTAATAGTGTATTCAGAACTAGATCAAGTATCCAAGCTTTTTTATTTAAATATGGCATTCTTAAGTAGTGTCAAATATTGCCCACTTTGACTCATTCTAGTTTTGTCTTATGATGACTCTTTGGCAGTAGAAAATTTAGTCTTTGTCTTTTTAATTTTTTTACATATACATTTTGTAATGATGGCATTGATAATTGTTTGCATATAAGTCCACCTGGACTTAGTTGGGAAGTGAAACCTTGTCTAGAAATATGTCAATCTCAGAAAATCTTTTATCTAAACAATAATTTCATTTTGTTTTAATTCCATGCGATGGTGTTTGACATAGAGCCCACGAACATTTTCTTATTCTGGAAAAAAATGATGATATTAATTTAGAAGCTAGATTTTTCTTCTCTGTCAGTTGACTAATCAACCATCATCCTATTAGTATTAACCTCTTTCTCTTTGTCTCTAATTTATAGTGTGAGAACAAGTTAGTCTATGTCAACCACAACCTAACACATTGTCTCATTTGTTCTGTTACTGAAGGTCATTATTTCTCTCTCCTTTGTCAATTACTGAATTGGCACTCAGGTCCCCTTCTCCCTAGGATCTACCAGGATATCATCTGAGACTTTCTTTATTCCTTTTTCCACTAAACTCCAAACTACCCCTTATGTCAATGTCCTTTATTATGATTTGAAAAAATGCATTATGCCAATGACATCCACAGAAGGTTAACCTGACAATTCAGTCGTGGTACCACTGGCCTTACCTAGAATATGATGGATTGAATGCTTGAGTTGATTCAATCAGACACTGAAATTGTAAAGAGGATAAGACCATTCACTTTCCATAAAATTACACTGTTTTTAAGCCTTTAAAATTGACACACCTTGAAAAGTGCCCTACATTATAGATTTTCTTTTGTCCAGGTGCCAATTGTAACTTTGTATGCTTAATTTTTAAGGAAAGTAGAGTAGCTGAACCAGGATAGCATGCATTTGGCAACCATGATGAACGATTTTCCAGTTCATTAAGCTTTAGAATTTAAGCAGTTCTAAATAAGACAAATGTGTTCCCTTTCTTCCAATATATGAGGCATAATTATTTCAAGTTACTTACTTGGTTATTTCATATAAATTTTAGTAGTATGAAGGATGAATGAGCTAACATTTTGGAATGCCAATAGTTAACTTAAATATTCCATCACTTTGCTATATCTCAATAAGTTTGTACTTACCCAGTGGGAGCCTAAATGACTGTGTGCATACTGACCCATAGAAAAATCTTCCCTTCACAAACCCATTCAAATGTAATTGTTAAAATTAGATAGTTGTTTGTGGAGATGCTTTTCTAATCAGTTCTACTACAGTTTTAAAATGTAAATTTTCTTAGATAAAATTTTTTTTACCAGTTAAAGATTACCTGTATAAGTTTATAACAGGTTAATTTTATTTTACTGCAACACTTGTATGTTAGGCTATCCAAAATAATACTGTCATGAAAAATTATGATATACATGCATACATACATACAATGATACTATCATTTCTTCCTCATCAACTAAGTATTTGAGGTCACAGTGTCAAGCCATATTAATTAAATGACAATAAAACAGCATTTTTTATTTCTTAATATATCATGGCCTAAAACTAGTCTTCTCCAATAAACTATTTATTTTTATTTTTAGTTGAACTCTGGGCCTGGATGCTGTCCTTCAGCTCTTCAGCTCTACTACTTAAGCCACAATGCCACTTTCAGCTTTCTGGTGGTTTATTGGAGATTAGAGTCTCACGGACTTTCCTGCCCAGACTGGCTTTGAACCGCGATCCTCAGATCTCAGCCTCCTGTGTAGCTGTGATTACAAGTGTGAGCCACCGATGCCCAGCTTTAAACAAATAATTTATAGTCTTACCTTCTACATATTTTGCGCAGTGAAGCCTTTTCTATTGACCATTTAAAGTTCTATTCTTTTACTCCTGAAGTTTATCAGCTTCATTTTTTTCACATTAGTTATCAATATCAATATACTGTATTAAATTTTTCATTCAGGTATTCATAGTTTTATCTATTAATTTATAATGGTTATTACTTATTATTACAGAAAATCTTTTCTGATTGGTTTTCCTATGTATTTTCAGGGTCCAGAATTGATTGATAGTCTGAGGGGAAAACATCTGCGATGTTTTTGTTTCTTAGACAACTTAAAATTTACTAATTAACTTATTATTTTTCTACTCTTTCTTTATTTTTTTATTGTGAAAATACTGTACAGAGGAGTTACAATTACATGGGCAAGATAATGAGTACATTTCTTTATTGTCAGGTACTGTGGTTTGAACTAAGTCTCCAAACCTGATCAGATTTTTTGTTCTACTGAAGCTCTTCCCTCTTGAACCAATGACAGCCCAGCTTTTGGCTGGTTATTTTGAAATGGAATCTTTCCAAACTTCTCTGCTGAAGCTAACTTTGAAATGTGATCATCTGGATTTCTGCCTCGTGAAGAGTTAAGATTATAGTTGTGAGCCATCCTAGGTTGAGCAAATATTATTCCAGTAATTTGGTGAAATTTAGATACACACTGTAATGTCTGCCCTGGGAAATCAAGGCAGATTCCTCCCTCCTCTTGGCTAAATCTCTGTCCAGTAACTGTGTCCTCTAGGTAACTGGCAGTCACCTGGGCAGTCACCTTCCTCTCCTCCAAGGACATACCTTTTGCTGTCCTGGTCATGTACTCCCCCACCTCAGGCCTTGAGGTCACATCTGCATCTGGTGTGGCCCCACTTCCCTCACCTAGCCACACTTCTGTCTGCCCCTTCCCTCTTTAAACTCAGGCTGAGGCAAGCAGTTAGGTACAAAACAAGAATAACAACAACAACAACAAAACACACACAAACAAAAAACTCCTCTTCCTGCCTGAATACCATGTAGTGTTCTCTTTATTGGCTACCTAACTAAATTTGCCTATTTAATTTACCTGACACACACATATGGAAATATTTGTCTGCTTTAAGATTAAAAATGACAAAATACAGTCATCTTTTAGACTCTTCATAATAGAGCTTCAAGGTAACTAGCTTTTAGAATGTTGTGTATTTTTGCATAATTGTCATGAAGAATTTTCCAGTAATTGTTATAAAATACATAAAAATATGTTTAAACTTAAGAATGTTATAAAATACAGTCATCTTTTAGGTTTCTTGTAATAGTTTCTAGTTAACTATCCTTTAAAATGTTAAGTGTTTGAGGGCATAATTATCATGACAGATTTTCCTTAAATTAACATAAAATACATAGAAGTTTATTTTTTTAGTTTATTAAGTCAGTTACCCCAGAGGAGTTGACATAGTCATAATTCTCATTGGTTGAGATATTTTAAAATCCTGTGACCTTCTGTAATGTTTGCTTTATAATTTTGGCCCATTATTATATGAAGATAGAGCTCAGTCTCTACACCCTTCTTGTAAGATGTGTGAGGGGAATAAAATAGCAAATAAATGAACACTGAGGCTATTCATATTATTTCTGTGAAGTGTCACAGAAATTGAGGAGGAAATGTATGGCTGTATATCCATCTTAATACTTAAAAATAAAAGTCATAATCCACTTAATACTTCTGGCTTGTTGGAGTCTTGTTTGTACAAAATATTTCATGAAAAATTTTGAAGCACAAAGCCTGTCATGTACTCCTTCAATTGACCAATTCTCAATTTGCAAACACATGGAAGATCTTGGGAGGGATTAAAAAAATGTCTCCTTATGTAGAACAAATTAGATCAGACTAATCTAATTCCTTCTGTGACAGAGTGACAGACCCTGTGGTTGCAAGGAAAGCAATAGATATAAGATCTTTATTTCAGTCAGGCTTTTAATTCAGTCTCATACGACAATAATTAGGGAGCAGCAAAGCAGAGTTGAGATGCTGCTATTAAAGCATGGGTGTGCAACTACTTGGAAGGTCACACTCTAAGAGTAGTTATTAGTCGGTCCACGCTGCTCTGAGCGATGGGGGTGGATACTGAGCAATGTTTCAGAATCTGTCCTAGTCCATTACTATATCTTTATCAGTGACTGGGATGATTAAGTAGAGCTCTTACTCCTTAAGTTCATGGATAACATCAAGCTGGGAGGGGTAACTGTCCTTGAAAAATAAACTTGAAAATCACAATGACCTTCTAAGATGAAGAAGTGGCTTGTGAAAACAGAGCAAGGGAGTAAAGATTGTGTCCTGGGAAAGCAGGCAAATAAACTAGCAAAAATATTAACAAACTGAAAAAAGTAAGTTGAGGAAATTTATATTTATATTACCCTACTGCCAGACTTCTACATGTCTCTGTCTTCAACTTCATCTCAGACAATTATTTGTCAATTTTGATATTTTGCCAAGATTTGGTCCACTACATGACCTTGACTTCTTGTGCTTATTTATTATCTATATTAAACTTAATAACCTGGCCTCAGACCTCTGGTAAACCCCTTAACCTCCTTCCAACTTTAGGTTACATATTCAGGGATAATGTTGAGCCCCGTGGCTACATCTTACATGAGTAGTTTACTAACATTTTATTCTTTATTCCCAAAGTATTCCAAAACAAAAATACTATAAAATTAACTTTGCACAATATACATTTCAGATATATTGGAAACTCCTTATATTTCCTGGGACTATCTTATTTCTCACAAAATAATAATTTTGTGTGTAATCTGGGTTGTTATGAGAATAAAGTTTGGTATATGATGAAAAATTCAAAAAGATGACATTACAATGTACTACAACTTTTTTTTTACTTAGTATTTAATAAGTTTTATGCTATTTTTAGATTTCTGTTATTTAAAAAGTACTCGATTTACAGTATATTTATTTTAATCACTTGTGCTTCTTTTTTTAAAAAATAACTTTTATAGAAACTTAAGT